GTGCTTCACAACTCTAAGAGTCACCTCTAATCTTTATACCAGCTCTTAGAAATATCCCTAAAAGGGCAATATTTGCAAGAATTTCGGTCCCTGGAAATTTGATGATTTTAGGCTGGACCAGTGTTTCGAGCAGGACGTTTATCGATAAAAGCGCGGAAATCAATGGAAAGGTCTATCAAGAAGGGGTCCTCGAGAAAGCTGTTGTCCTGAAATGCAGTCATAACAATTCTGTCTTTCTACAGGAACGCGCTCGGGCCCATGGACCAATACAACGATCCACTTCTTCGAGACCAGTATCGGCTGTTTTGTGGCGATGGATTCGTGGTCCACATACAGTCGGATCCATTTTCTCTGTTTGGGGTTTTATTGAAGAACTACTAAGGATGGAATGCAAAAAGTTCGGTGATTCTGAAAAGAACTGCCTAAAATTTGGAATGAAATATGCGCTGAACACCTCCGCCGCACCATCGACTCGCTGAAGAAACAAATTGAGGCCTGTATCAAAACTGATGGCAGCTACTTTAATCTTTTTTACAGTTATAAAATGTCAGTTTGTTGTTTTATGAAGCTGATTACTTTCAAATTTTTGGGGGCAAGCAATGAAGTTTGGACGTGTTTCACGGCGCACGTAATTTTTCGCCACCCTGTATAGATCAAAGCGGGAAAGCACTCAATGTTGATCAATCCCTTTTTGGATGCGCCACATATGCTGCTTTAACTCGTTGTCGATGGGTGATTGCTAGCTTGATGTAGTCCATCCATCAATGTATAAGTCAGCAGTCTTGTCCTAGCAGACAGGTCTGGAACCAATTAACCGAGCCTGGGGGATTGGAAGGTTAAGTTGGCTTCGGCTTTATACGAGTCAGGATTCGATTCTTGGGCAGAGCGTATAGTGAATATATTGAAGTCGAAAATGATCAAAGAAATAGGGAGACAATTTAAATTTACAACAGCGGGATAGAATTGAATCAAGCCACATTGAGAGGAAAATTTACCTCAGACGTCTGGCAGTATCCACGACAGACAGGAATCTCCACCACACCTCGACATTTCTTGCCATTCGAATCGGTGAGCACTAGGGGATTCATCCGGGTATCTTTTGCAGAAAATATTCGCATTTGCTTTTTGACGTCACCTCGGATGATGGTGCCTGAAAACGTTATCGCCAATTTGTTCTGAATTTTTCGCACAAATTTTACCTTTTTTTGAACTTTTTAGTCCTCGTATAACTTTCAGAATTACAAGAACACCATCGTTTGTGCTTAATGTATGGAAGTGAATGGAATCGGTGGTGTAGCAGGGGGTTGGGCAGGGGGCAATTTGGTTCCTTAGTATACTTTAAATGCGGCGATTTTTAGCTCAGAAGGTCTGAACCAACTGCGCACAGATAGGGCTAAGATTGCTCATTTCTTCCTTTTCAGGAGCTTTGAAACATCCACGTGGGGATACAATTTTCGGTGCTTCTGTCATGACGTAGCTGGCAATGCATGGACGCAGCGGGTTGCACAGTTGGCGACCGATCGCGTTGATGGGCTTACCATACGCTCAAAAAGATACGATGGGTTATTAATGCGGAGGTCACAATGAAACTTCAGGGCTTGGCAGCCACCGCTGATCAGGTTGGAGGATGACTAAAATCTTGATTTCCGTGAAGTTTTCGCCTAAACAGTGGCTCTGATTTGCATAGAAAATTCTTTATGTAGGATGGGGATTTACACTATCCAGGCTGTCGCGAGATATTTTCCCTGCTGAAATAAAATCACGTTTCCCAAGCAAATAACATGAAGGCGGCGTTAAAAAGTATGAAGTGTGACTTACCGCTAGTGTAGTAAGAATGAGAGCAGCGATGATGATGATCATCTCAAAGAATCCGGAAGCTGGATCAATAGCCCGATCGCCATAGGCCAGGTGTTTCTCATTATCTCACAGTAAACAGAATCAGATTTCAACACGGACATGAAATTGCGGATTGAACTTTTCCTTTCTAGATTTTCCCAAGAAAGAGTAGAAACGCGATTAAGCAGCAAATGCAAAACAACAGCACAAAAGTAATTGTTCTGTAATTAACTTTTTGAGCATCACAGTGTTTTCATTATAAACATAAAGATCAACATGAAGCTTGGAGACAACGAAGTCCTTAAATATTCCTTCAGCTACTATTCATTAATATGTGTCAGTTCTTGAGGAGGAAGTTTCGAAGGGCCAAGTGGCAGCGCTATCCATGAGCGCCGCCGGGGGAGGGAGTGGAGGAGGGTCAAATGCTGCACGATATGCTGTTCAGGCCAACCCAGTTTTCATCCCTTTAAAGTTGGTGAATTTGTACTGGATCTATCAGGGACAATAAAAATAGCTAATTGTACGGCTGACGTAGTACTACCATCAGCAGAAATTGTTACCCTTTATTCGAGGATGACGATGTACTTGAAGTGCAATCTCTCCATAAAGGAAGGTTATAATGTTAGGGAGAATATTGAGTAGGGCGGAATCCTGCACTGGAGTATAAGAACAATACAGAAAGTTTAAAACCCGCCCAACTTCTTTTCAGCAGGAGACGTTACGTATCATTTGTAATACTATCGTACATCAAAGAAACAAGGAAACAATTCAGAAGAGACGACTAGTTACGCATGAGTTGGTCACGGCAGAGAACAAGTCTGAACATCTCATCTCCTCCTTCCTCACATACTTACTGTACTGCGTTCTTCTTAGCTGGAATCAAGCCCGAAGGATGAGGCTCTCAATTTTGTGAAGTGAAATTCGCGAGCAAGGAAGTAAATAGAGGCTAGAAGCTTGATTGATTGTCATATTAACCACTTTCTGTCGCCTCTACCAGATGGCAATTATTGCAGAGATGTTGGTTTACAGAAGAATGCTCGCTCCGCCAGAAGTCGGTCCCACTCATCGCGCTTCTTCGATCGGATTGCTAACCGTTACAGCATCAGGACTACAGTTCCACGTACCTAGGCCTTCAGGAAAGGGTGCAAGGTGTATGACTGCAAAGAAGCCTGAAGGGAAGTCGGTGAGCGAGAATTCGACGAAGCAATTGGGATGTTTGCTGTGGTGAATTGAAGAGCACATTGTCTAAGCCCTCACTAGTATATTCTAAGCAGGTTCTAACGGTGCTCTTTTTGCTAAAGACTACTGTAGGATAGGTTGGACTGGAATGTAGGATGCAGTAAGAGCTGCAAGATAAGGGTTATGGAAAAGCTTTCTCACGAAAATCGGAGGCAAAACATGTCTGCAACATACAACACTTCAACACCTTGGCGACAATGTTGTCTGTCAAAAATTCGCGCAACGCCCCACGGTTTAATTTTTCGCGTAGGTGTCCGAGTAGCGTTTTAACCAAGAACACATAGTATGTGGTGTTTTTGGTGGCCATGGTCTGCGCACATCATTCATAACGTTGACGTGAGCGTTAAAGAAAGGAACGGCTATAAGTTGTTTTTCATGAACGTTGAAGGAAAGAACGGTTGGAAGTGCTTTTTTCGAAGGTGAAGCTAGCTGTTCGAGATGTGTAAAGCTCGTTTTTGCATTCTGTAAGCTAGCACGATGATAAAAGTTTCGGACTGAAGCTTTCCAAGCTGTATTCTGGACAAAATGCTGAAAAAAAAAAGTGACCAGAGCGAAGGTGATACCAAGTTGCCAATCCGGATCCGACTACCTCGAGACTGTTTTAGGGTTCCTCTTTGGCTATCCGATAAGATTTTGTCTGGATTGAAGGCAATCTTTCAAAATTTCAGCAGTTTCCGCGTTGAGTTCCATTTCCTCTCGACATGCTCTTTGGCTAAGGTACGTACGGTCCGAGCGTAAGCGAGTGAATTCTTGGCACGGACACCCCGGAAAATTGCATGAGTCAACCTAACACCTAAAGGGCTGCTGCGGGCAGCCAAGTGGAAATCTATCCGTCAGCCAAAATATAAAACTGTCTCGCAAAGGTGTGCGAAATAACTTCGTATCATGTATGCTATACGAAGTTATTCTTAACACATTGACGACCGCGCGCGTTTTGGCTTTTTTGGCCGTGTGGGACCGGGCCGATTTTGCGAGTGCGACCGCCGCACCTCGGATCCGTGAATTTTTATTGATAACTTTTTAAAGCACCAGTGGTACAAAAACATCTCAGTAACAGTCAATGCGTAGAAGGTAATAGAGTATATAGTGACGAAGTTCCGATTAAAGAACATGTAATGGTAATGAAAAAGGAAACTTTAGTCATTTTATCTGTAGTGGATGCCAAAAGCTCTTTTGATGTGGTTATACCAAGTGAAACATGTATTTTTCTGTCTCTTTAGATTTGCATTTACTTTCACTACCCTTTTTTATTGACGTGTTCATGAGAATAGCATGAAAACTATTAATGAACCAAGCCGCCGGTTTCGGTGAGCTTGGAAAACTTCTTCTAAACTGGAGCATATTTGAACAAACAATGACCTATGTCGTTCACAATAATGTTATGTTCTAATCCATAGAAGAGAGACAAACAATTCGGGAAAAAGCTGCGCATGCCCTAGAAAAAGGGATGATAAGGGTGAGACGCGGTAACGCGTCTCAATGTCCAACGAGGTGCGCAAAGTGAGACGCGTTACCGCGTCTCAATGTCGTCAATGTGTTAAAGGAATCTTGCGCGGAAAAATCATGATTCTATTTCAGCCATAAATCACTGGCTTGAGACTCATTATCCACGATAATAGTGAAAAGAACTGAAGTATTGCTTTCGTTTTGATTAGAAATTCGAAAACTCGAAAAGGCTGCTACGCGTTCGAATTGCCCACGGACGTCTTTCACGAATGCTGGCGACGGGGATGCTCAAACTTGGTTCTTGGAGTGCATTCACTAGAAGCTCTTTCTGGCCTTCTGCTTCGTTGCATTCACATCTTACACTTCTACTCCATCCTATTCCATCGATCGATTTGTCTCCACTCTCCGAAATCGCGCGCTTTAACCCGATTCTCTCATTGCGTCGCCTGGTACGTAGCCGGCCAAACGCCGTCTTCTTTCCATGCCTCGCCTGGCTCTGCCTCCTGGTCCTTCGATGGTCCATAACGTGTAGTTTTTGTACGTTTGTTTCTCTTCAGAAACCGAATCTTCATGCGTGAAACTTTGTGTGCTATTTCCAGTGATCACAACTGACATATTCATGTTAGGAAAGAGTGCAAGAATTTTCCGCGCAAGATTCCTTTAAGAAGTTGGCATACGAACGCCCATTGAACCAGAATACCTCCAGGTTGATGTGATTCGAGGATACGCTAACATGTCCGTGTTTCCTGGCTCTTCGATGTCTGCTCCCTTTTTCTCCAAGACATTTTTTATTCGCCGTGGTCGTTGTAGGGCATGAAAGAAACTATAAGAACGTGGGACTGCGCCTTTTCATGTCGTTTAGAGAATTTCCTTCGCTTGATCCAACCAAAACGGCTTTCAGCACTGACGATGAGAGAACAGTCAGGTGGAGTGGATTCGAGGGGGCACGCCATTGTACTCTCCGCTATTGAAGATAAGAATAATAGCGCTTATGACTCGTAATCGACTCATGCGAAATATACTCTGGAAGGTACCGGTCTGATTTAGGAGTACACATAACTTGCTTACGCAATTTGGCTTGCAATGGTTCAGGGAAATGATCCTGAACTGAGGTAACAGACTCCTTCGCCCAGGCTCAGGGATGGATGAGCTGCAAGTGGATCACCAGGTGCAACATATGGGATAGGATGTGAGCAGGATGTGTAGGATTCGGGGCACTTACCGGTCTTCACCAAAACAACACTTGAAACCAGTCGTACGTGTTATCTTATCCTTAGCGTTAGAGAACTCAAAGGAGCGCCCAGTGGTAAAAGGATTATATAACAGGGAATGCACACCCCCCCCCGCGAACTTCTTTTTCATCGTAGGGCTACACACGAATGTCGCCACGCACGCGACGATGTCAAACGTCATAAAGTGTGGCATCTCATCTCATCCGGCGATCTCATGTCAGGCCTCCAATATTATTTATATACCGAATTGTAGGGACGAAATCGGAAGCAACACTGCGCAAAATCAGTTTATAGTTTCTGAGATCTATAGAATCGTAGCATAAACAAAAACAGCATCATCACATAGCGATATGTAGCAAAAAAGTGAGAAAAATCGGTAGTAATGAAGTAATAGTGATGGACCGGCACGCATAGATGAAGACGATGGAAGGCTGACGAGATTGAGCTATGTTAGTTCCGTGGTCGTGTCATCGACGGAAACTGAAAGTAGGAAGTGATTAAATGCAGTGAAAGCAGTTCGTCTAGATATGCCTTTCCCTCCTCGCTCTTCGCGTACCTGCACTGCGCTCCTCTTAATAAGTTTTGCCGACCGATTGATGTCATTGATTAGGTGTTTAGTAGTATTATCTTGTAGCAAGGGATGTCGAACGGGTTGTTAAGCGTGCCGTTCTCGCGGCAATTGCAGGACAATTTTGAACTTTTCGGAAGAACGCTGATAAGATTCCCCTTCAAAAGCGGCTTTATAGAAGACAACTGGACATAGAAATACTGAACTGGAGAGAAGTTCACTTTCTCGGGGTCAGATCGTCAGAGCTGCGCCGTCATTGAAGCATAAGGTTAAGCTTGGTTTTGGGCTTGAGCTTACGATTGCTTAGTGCTCATGTTGAGCCTACGGTTGGGCTTAGGCTTAGTCCTAGGCTTGCTTCGAGCTAATGGGTGGTGTTTCAACTTTAGGACCTTTCCTGAGCGAGGACAAAAAAGAAAGAGCAACAACACTCGATGAAACTGAGCTCCGTTTGGGTTTGCCTTTAGAGAGCACTGATGCACGCGTGCGTTGTGATAACCAGATGCTTTACAGCCACGAAGGGAATGCGGGTTAAGGGGGTCTATATATACCCTTTCAGGCATTCTAACAAGTGAAAGAAAACCAATTCGTTCATAAACATTTAATAGTCTACATTATATAAAGAAAATCTCACCTCCAGACTCGATTCCGAGGCACAGAGCAGATCTCGCGATTCGGTAAGCTCACGTAAGGCACGCTCGATTTTCGGATCGTAGTATTCGGAATCTCTGCAAAAGGAAACTCTTGTGAAGTCTCAGATGAATCTTCACTTACTACAAACCATCCACACTGTTCATCCCATTATGGTTATATTCGCTAGTCATAGTAAAGAATGGGTATTAAAAAAAGGACAATGAAGGCATGGGGCAATGGCACCCGTTCAAGAGTTTCCACAGCATCAGAGCATAGTGGGTCCACTTTGTATCAACCCTGGGTGAGATTAGCCGTCTAATGGGATTTTCCCAACCAAGGAAGTTGTTTTTGGAAAGGGTTTGTATATAAAAAAAAGGATTTTTCAGACGTCGTTGGAGTAACTATCTTGAGAGGAAGAGGTTTTTGTTACAGAAAGTACCTTTCTCCTCCCGTCCACTCACGAGCTCGACCTTTTAATGTTTTTAGAAGGAATTGCTAGTTTGTCAGGCCGCGGCGGGCCAAACACAGCACTGGGGATCTGGAGGTATGGGGAGAAAACTTGTGGAAGTGCTCCCTGTCAGTCCATGGAGCGTTGTTGTGGACTATTTCAAACTTTTGCGGCGTTGGCAGTTGAAGTGCCCTGCGAGCTGTGCGACCGAGATTACCGCGAAAGAAGGCAGCTGTCCCTGTTCGAGGCAATTATTCAGGCTGACCTACAGCCTCATTCCAGGACTGTTTGGGTGGAACACTCTCCGTGAGGACGTAAACTGTTCACCCAAACAGTTTTGGAATGAGCGTATGCGATGGCATCACCATCCTCACGTAGGAGACTGTCCGTCAACGCAAAGGACGATTTACGGTTTAGGATTGTGACTGGGGTCTTGGTCTTTGCTAGCTTGTGACACGCCAATCACAGCCCGTTTTCTCAAGATAGATTGGTTGATGTATAGTTAGTACCCACGAATACTGCCTCAATTCTTTCTCTATTATCTGATTTCTCGGTTAGACTTTCCATCTAATTTCGTTTATTTTGCGTAGTGCCGAAATCATCTGTCCAGTCGTATCTAATTGTGAGCAAAATTTTACAGCTTCCGCTCAACACTTTCGCCCTGAAGCTACTAGAAGTCTACAAGTGTTCAGTTATCTTAGCCTTCTAACCATAAGCACATCCCGCTTTTGAGGAGTACGTGGTCAGATAAGATAGCAAACAACTTACACAGTGGAGTTCTGCGTTTGGAAGATTTCAACGTCAAGTTGTCGAACACAGCTTGCCTGAAAGTATATGTAAGTCTCTCAAGAAATTCTCTTGCATTGCCAGCTCTGAGGAGATCTCGAAAATTTGCATGGGGTTATGAAAGGGAGGAAGGTGACCTTGAGTGTTGACAAAGTGCATAAAATTATTGCAAACATTCATACTGTTTGCAAGGACTCAACTGAAGAGACTCGCTCTCAAGAGTTTTATGAAAAAATGTGATCAGTTCAATGGAAGAGCGATAGGCTTCGTCTTGGGACTAAAAGAATAGATGAAGTTATACGAGTATTTGATCTTTTTTGGATGCGCCAGGCACTGTACTCCATAAAGAATAATAGTGGCAATATGGAATGATTCGGCCTAAACAATGACTTGAGGGGACCAGGCGATTCACAAGTCAAGCGTTTTCATCCTCCCAGACCAACTTGGTATGTTACCCACCCAAGTGAAAAACGGTTGGCAGGCCTGGACCGGCGCACTCATACAGATTCGATCCACCGATTTCTTTTCACTGTCACTCAGGACGTTTCTCTCTGTTCACTTGCCACTTCAGCACAATTTTGTGAATCCTTCAAAAAAGACCACACATTCCTATCTGCATTCGAAATTCTGGAGCCACTTTCTTACTTATGGTTAGGGTAATCTTTGTTCATATGCAGTGGTACTTGAGCGAAGAGAAAGCTGTGCAGAGAGATATCGACATGCCCTCACAAACAAGGTCCTTTTCCCTCCACAGAGCATGCCACTTTGGTTGACCGGTCGAACAGAAAACATGAAAACTGGCTCATCCTCGCAATCCACTCTTATGGACAAGACTTTCGTTGTGAGGTTTTTGAATGGAGGAAGAATGCAAAGCGCATTCGGAAGAGATTGTTCAACGCCAAGCAATTTTCTTTAATCGTTTTACGATGGCAGCTGGGTTAGCTTTTCAGATGGTCATTCTGCTAAAGCAATTTGCCAATAAATCAAAAGCCTGATGCGGCCTTTAGCCGGAATGAATCTACTCTCACTAACGCTACTTATATGTCGCTCGAAGTGGAAAAGCTGGGGTGCAAAAGTACTGCCCATTCATGGCGGTACTGGTTATGAAAGCGGAATGATAAACATAGTTACAAGAGTTCCGAGGAAGCTCCGAAATGGCGTGAACTTTCTTTTACTATAGGAAGAAGCTATTCGTTACTCTCTCCTGGTATCCCAACCCTGTGAAAAATCTCCGTGTGAAATCCACTTACCTCGCACATTTCATGATCATCGGCGATGACGACGACGGCGTAAGCGTAGCGCGGTCGCTCCAGAATCAACTCAGTGGACTCCTCAGCAATGTCGTCAACAAACGACTCTAGCACCGATTTCAGTATCATACCATCGAAACCCATTTCGCTGAAAACACCATTTATAATGTACTCGCTCGATGCTCATGACTTCATAAAAGCAAACGGGTGCAGTATTTCAAAAAGTTCATTGAAAATGCGTACATGCACAACTAGAACGACAAGACCCATGAAAGTTACAGTGAGGTTTATGGTGAATCAGATCTGCTTCAACATAAAGCCCGCGTTTTTTCTAAGTATGACGAAAAATGGCTCATTGTTATCGAATTCAAGAGCAAAGAGAGTTTAATCTGGCAGATCGAGATTCGGTCTTTTCCTTTCCACATTATCCTATCTACTGTCTACTGTAACTTCCATAATAAACTGTCAGCTGATTTGGCTTGACTGCAATTTTTCACCGGCTTGAATAAAATGGCTTCGAAGGCAGAGCCGCCATTCAAAAAAACAGAAAAGGACAAGAGATATTTCGAGAAAGATATATGAGTGTAAAGCTGTCTAGAGGACTAAAGTGAAACCAGCAAATAGTAAGCAGGTAATGTTGAAGATTTGATTAGCATTTAATACATTTAAATGATTGACGTCTTCAACATATTATTAGACTATTTTTATATATTTCATTTGAGTGAAAGTGGCAAGTGGCACTGCTTACTACGCGCACGATGAGACCATAAAATAATGAATAGTACGACGGCGAAGGCAGGCAAGGCCTTCATCCCCACTCGATCAGAAGTCAGTACCATACTTGTCTGGGAGGACGAAATACTAATTTGTACATCGGTCAGATCCCCCCCTTGTTAAGTCAATAGGTCGACTCACCTTTCGAAATACTGCCACGATCTTGAATGGAAGTATGAAGGATGCGCGGATTATCCCGAAAAAGGTTGAAAATTGAACGAAGATAAAGATATAAGATTATATAAAGATAAGATAAAGACTAAATTAAACGAGTGCTCTATTGTCTTATATTGCGTTTACACTGGTTTTGTCGCTAACTTCTGTTTTTGGCCGCAGTCGTCTTGAGAGTTTCTAGAGCGTACTTTGCCCAGTAAAACAAAGAGGTGCGTTCGAGTCCGTATGCGCGGAAGTTTTGTTCAAAACAGATATTGCTTTACTTGATAGTTCTTCATTACTATGGCAGCGTTGTGGGCTAATTTCATCATCTCCCTCATGAATTGAAGCGAGATCTAATAGTTCAAGTAAATATTGGTAATTTTCCAATAGCCATTGTTCGGTTTATTTTTCAGATCGCTGATGTTTCGGACAGTGAAGCATGACAACATAAGGGTTTATTGAGGAAACTAAAGAAATACCTAAACTTTGTTAAGCAAAGCTAGACATCTGTTAGCCCAGTTAGATCCCTCCCCTTTCCTACATATCGAAAAGAAGAAGGATCGAGGAGCGCTGTGGAAAGAGATCATCAGAAAGGGAAGCAAGAGCACATGGAGTTGCACAATGGCGATTAACACGTTGACGACAGCCCTTTTTCCGCGACACCTTTTTTTTATTTTTCACACTCGTCATAACTTCTTCAATAATTCCACCACTGGTAATAATGCACGTTTTTTGGATTAGATAATGCATGCACATAGCTTTGAAGCATGAAAAATGCCAAATAAGTCGAAAAAGAAAGCTGCCCAAATGGGGACCATCTTGCCCGCTGTGGCGGTAATGTCAACGTGTTGATGTTTGTTCATCATTTGACGCATGAAAGGGAGAAAGCATTGTAGTTGTTGATCATCCGTTTCCGCGATGCGCCGCGCGTTCTACTCCCATTTGTCGTTTTGCTAACATTTGAATCAAATTAGCCATAGAATCACTTGCAGAGGAAGAAGGGTGTACATATCGATTTCGTCATGCATCTCATACATTTGTAGTACCCGCGACCTACAACGGAGAGAGAAAGGGCGGAATGGCTTGATCGCGAAGTAAATTTAGCTCCGATGCGCGCGTGGAGGGACGACATTGCCAGCTTTACCTTCGTCTTACCGGTGAAAGCAAAGTACAGCAGCACAACAAAAATGCTTCAGAGTTGTATGAAAATTGCAAATACCGTCTTCAATCATCATATTCCGAAAACAGCAAATAGAGGTGACTCCTCGCACAAATTTTCACTTTCCGTGACATAAAAAGGCCATAACAACAGACGCTACCCTTTGCCACAACAAGTTCGTTTTCCGCCACTCCCGCCGCGATACAGAAAATACGGAAACACGCAACTCTTTGGCTGCGCCAGCTAAGGGCAGATAGTCCAAGAACGACTTTCTCTTAATCTTGGCAGGGAAGTTGATGCGAATAGTTTTGCTGCAGCCTGACCAAGATTTCAGCACTTTTTATTAGGCTTACGTTTCGGCCTCTTCGCCTTCGTCAGAGCCTGAAAGTCGAAAGCAAGGGCAGATAGAGATAGTAGGTAGGGGAAAGTAACTACGCAGTCGTCTCTTAGCTGAAATTCTCCCATCCTTTATAATTTTTGATTGTGGGCTAGCGATACACGCTGTAATTTGGCCCAACTCACTGTAATTAATCAAAATAGAAACCACTGGATGAAAAAGAAATCACGCCTGGAACCGGACAGCACACTCGGAGTGCACGGTTGCAAATGGGCGTGGAGTAATGAGGAGCGGGTTCAAGCGCTTACGGCTAATAGCGCTAGATTCCCCATCGGAGTGATTTGCAATCATTGACAAGCTGGTTAGATGAGCGATTCGTCGCTGGGGAAAGAACGGGTGAAGATCGTCTCAAACCCAAAACATAACGCTCACTAGTTCCGGAGAACTGTGCTGACGTCTACTTTGAAGAGCGAGAAAGAAGGTACAAATCTTTGGTACTATCATAGCCAGTACCTGCTGAAAGCACTACAAGCGTATTTGCACAGAATTATGGTGATTGTCAGGCGTGCCAAATTCCAGCTTTTAGCATCAAAGCGAAAAAATTTGCGTAATGGAACATTGAAAATCAGAAGTTCGTCTGCGTGAGCGAAAAACAACTCGACTGACTTTACCAAACAATCAAAACTGTACAATCCGCCAGTATTCTTTCTGTAGATAGCTCCATATAATTGTGAACTTCAAATTATATCATCCCGCATCCTCTTACCTCGATTTCGGAAGACGAGAAAAAATCGAGTGCAGAGAACACATCATAAGAGACGACGGCCAAGAAAACGGCCTTTTTTTTCTTGACCGTCATCTCTTATGATGTCTGGTCTGCACTCGATTTTCTTCTTGTCTTCCGAAATAGCGTATGCTTTAGCTCATCACCATTCTGAATAGGTTCTATGCAAAGCAATAATCCAGTCAAATTGGTAAAGGACGTTTAAAAATAAGAACATTTAGAGGCTGCAGAATCGTGAAGTAAGAGAATGTACCTAATAATTGAGTAATAAATAAGAAAAGCATTCGGCGTAATAACTTCGTATTTTGAGTGTTGTGTACTGCACTTCCACAGAAAATCATGGTGATACGTGTATGCGACTCTGCCTCTTCAGCGACTTTTGAGTACGAGTCCTGAGAAGCGTTCGGGCACTGATCGTGAGTCCTTAGGACCATACGTCTTGCAAGCAGGGTCAACCTTCTGGAGGCACTATTTGAACAAGGGAGCCGCATTTGTGATTGTGGCCCAAGGCAATGTCATTTGGGTGCGAGTAAACATTAGCATCTTTGGGGTGGTATGAGTGGATTGACTGTGAAAGTTGGCAAAAGGTAATGCAGCGAGAAAGCAGTTTGGGTTTTCGGTATTTTATCAAGAACTTCAGGAAATAAGCGTGAAATGGACATACCCTCCCCCTCCCGCTTGCTCAATGATCGTTTTGGAGAAGAAGGCGTGTGGAGTTGGAACCGCGCCAAGATGGCGAGGGTGGTGGTTGGGGTAGAGGGTAAGGGTTCGTTCATGGTGGAGCCTTCTAAGGGTGATGGTGGTGGGAAAGGCCGTATCGAGAATTACTGAAGGGGGCGGGGTCGCGAAATTTCATAAAGTGCAAACGTGAGGCTGGCCCTGCTGGCAAGTGGGCTTTACCCCATTATAGCACCTCCTCCCCAGTTTTTGCATAAGCAGTCGAAAATTGGCGGTAGTGGAGCTCTGTTTAGTGAATGAGCTGGGAGCAGTGCTGATGAAATTGATGAGCGAATACGGCAGATTCGAAGGCTGTATAAACATAAGGGAGGAACGATATTCAGTTATAACCGGTTGACATCGTAATATTAACAGTTATGTCTAGCAAACGATAAATGACATCTTGAAGTAGGCCACTTCATCGAAATGAGTTATGGCAGACGGGCGGGTCTCACTGTAGCGAAATTTGATTGATGAAACCGGCCTCTTTGTTGTTACAACAATGCAGAACGAACGGATGTACATTCCTTTCAACCTTTTATTTGTTGCGAGCGATGTCACATGCTAATCATTTAGTCCTTCCGTGATGACAAATCTTCATTGGATGAGCCATGCAGTAAAGTTCCGGCCATAAATTGGCCTTTTGAATGCTCATTGCATCTGCATACAAATCAGCGAGGAATACTAAGTGGCTTGAACGAAGGCCTAAAAGTAGTGACATGTGGCGCGGCCTACACTGGCACATGGCCCAGGAGCAGCTCAGATGGAATTGCGCTCAGACCATCCAAGTCTTTATTCCTCTGGAATAAACTAAGCGACGCAAGACTCATCTTGAAGATACGGAACACTGGTCAGTCCTCTCAATCCGTCACATAGGTCAAAAGGACACATTCCGGGAAGAGACTAATTAACGCCGAAAGTTCCATGCTCTATCCTTTTTCTCAATGGTTTGGTTAGCTCACTACGAGATTTGTACTGCATCTAGTAGCCCAACTACAGGGATATAAGTATTTCGGTGGTATGGATGGCAAACCGTATTCGCAACGTGTCTGAGTGTATCTGAGTGGAACTACTATATGAGCCCTTCTGACCATTTCGTCACGCCTAATTTGGTCGACACTGCAAGTCCTTTTTCCTGACCCTACATACTACGGTTTACCGTGATTGCGGAGCTATCAAGTAAACCGCATC